GCTCCCCTACACTGAGACCCATTCTGAGGTTATCCTCCAGCCAGCTCTGCTAACTATCCTTAAACGTATAAACTTCATAGCTGAGTGGTCCTCAGCTGCTCTTGCACCTTGGGCAACAGTACGGAGCAAGTGATGTACAGCCAGTAATGTAACTTTTCTGCTGATTAAGAAATAATTTCCTAACACAGGCTCAGAGCACAGACACATAGGTGTAATTACAGTAGGCCCTGTCTGTTCTTTCATGTATCAGCTGAGATGCCCACTTCATTCATTTGTAGGTGCTTTAAATGTGCGACAGCGCCAGCCTGATTTCTGGGGGTGTTTTTCTCCTGTTCAGCCCTGTGCACAGGCAAAGCAAGCAGTGGCCTGGAGTGATGGAGGGTGACAAATTGTAGTCTTGCTGCTTACTTTGCCTGGAAAGAGGAGATTTCATTGCTGCCACTGCCATTGAGGAGGGGAATGGTTTGGTGGGGCAACTGATGGTGGGAAGGGAGGGAAACTCTGACCCAGGACATGCAGTTGTCATCCTGTCCAATGCCCCTCAGCAGCCACAGAAGCAGCAATCCCTGTTTTGCAGGACTGCCCCTACCTCTCCTCAGCTCTGCCTTTTTCAAAACACAGAGTTTGAGTGACCCCTGCACAGATCTTGTGGGTTTAGTATGTGACAAAACTCTCCATATACTGATGTCTTCTCAGAAAACTCCACACTGTGGAAGAAAAGTATCATGCCCAAAAGTGTAGGTTCACCAAGTCCATAAATTTGAGTTTGGTTATGGAATAAGTTATGCTTTGTATTTTAAAGAAAATGAAAAAGTGAATAGTACGCTGTGGAAATGAGAGAGGTTTTAAAAAAAAAAATCAAGCCAATGCAATAAAGGGTAATGTTTGCCTTTCAGGATTACAGCTTGTGCCATGACCATGAATAAATACGTGGAGGAAAATGTTTCCCAAAAATCCTATACGACAATAAAGTATTTCATGAAGATGCTGAGCAGTGTCAGTGAGACCTTAATCTTCATCTTCATGGGAGTGTCTACAGTTGGGAAGAACCATGAGTGGAACTGGGCCTTCGTTAGCTTCACCCTCCTTTTCTGTTTAATCTGGAGGGCACTGGGTAAGCAAGTCTCGGACTATGCATCAGTGTGATTTGCAAGTGAAAATTTTAATCTTCATCTCAAATAGAGTATGCCAAAATTTAGACAGAGTCCCATCAGCTTGTAGAATGGTCTTCATAATTTGTAATGTGTCCTAGATCTCGGGGTCAAAATGAAACCCAAAGATCAATTTAGTCCTGATCCTGACCATCTGAAGTCAGGGGCTTGTTAATCAGAGTGAATTTTAAGTAAACATTTATTTACAAGTAATAAAAAAAAGCAGTTTGGCAATGTAAAAGCATATTGTGTTTTGGTGTTTTTTTTTTTTTTTTTTTTTTTTTAATTTACGTTTACTAGCTTTGTGATTTTCCCAGTCATTGGCATAAATAGCATCAAAACAGGAAATGCTGCAGTTGAAGTGTTGTTCAGTTATATATTGTGATGAAAAAAATCCTGTAAGTAACTGCTTGGCCCTTCCTGAGTTTTCAGTACTAGCTCTTTTTCTTTTACCTCAAGACCTATGTAGAGGTCAGGCTTGTACATCTTAAACCAGCCCCTCACCCCAGTTTCATCTGTAATGATTGGGTCCTTCTGTATGTAAAGGTGACTCATGCTCTGATTTGCCTCTGCACCCCTACTTGCAGCTCCCAAGTGTCCCTCCAGCGCACAAAGCTGGACTTTTTTCCCTCATGCACCTGCAAACCCTCGATTAATACCTTACGCTGAGAAACAGCCAAGCAGCCTGACTGCCCCTCCAGCTCTTGGCACCCTTCACTTGCCTTTATGCCTTTACTGCAGTCTGACACATCTCTGAACCCTTTGCCTTCGGTACAGCAGCGTGCACTGGCATCTTCTTGCTCCATCCCCAGCCCTGCATCTTTCCTGTCTGTGCAAGTAAAATTGAGTGAATAGGAGTCTGCAGGAAGCAAAGCACAGATTTTTGGAGGTGACAAGCCAAAGTGCTCAAAAGCGCCTCAAATCCTATTAAAATTTTTGGACTGTTGATCTGTGTACTGGTTTTGGCTGGGATAGTGTTAATTTTCTTTATAGTAGCTAGTATAAGGCTATGCTTTGGATTTGTGCTGAGAAGAATGTTGATAACACTGATGTTTTAGTTGTTGCCAAGCAATATTTACATTTAGCTAAGGACTTTTTCAGTTTCTCATACTGCATCTGCAGTTCCCAGCTTCTTCTCTAAAAGAATCATGGAATCGTTTGGGTTGGAAGGGACCTTAAAGATCATCTAGTTCCAACCCCCCTGACATGGGCAGGGACACCTTGCACTAGACCAGGTTGCTCAAAGCCACATCCAGCCTGGCCTTGAACACTTCCAGGGATGGGGCATCCACAACATCTCTGGGGGAGAAACTAGGGGGAAAGAAACTGGGGGAAAGAAACTAGGGGGAGCCACCGCCACGACAGCTGACCGGAACTGACCAAAGGGATATTTCATGCCATAAAATGCCATGCTCAGTATATAAGCTGGGGGGAGTTGGCCAGGGCTGCTTGGGGACAGGCTGGGTGTTGGCTGGCAGGTAGTGAGTGGTTGTATCACTTCTTATTGTTGTTGTTTTCATTACATATTAGTAGTAGTAGTAGAAGTACTAGTATTATTTTCACTACATATTACTATTACTATTATCATTATTTTAATTATTAAACTGTTCTTATCTCAGCCCATGAGTTTTCCTAACTTTTTCCTCCAATTCTCTTCCTCGTCCCACTGGAGCCGCTGGGTGGTGCTTAGCTCCTGACTGGGGTTCAACCACAACAGACTGCTCGAGAGGCAGAGTCTAGCAGATAGGTGTCTCATGGAGATCAGTTGGCTGCTTCAGGTCCTCAATCCAGCTGACCTAAGGTGGTTAACTCACTAAATATGTTTGAGAATATGCTCCTTAGGCAACTTAGATTTTTCTTCCAAGGTGTTTTCAAGCTGCTAACTTTTCACTTCTTCAATAATATATAGGTGAGAAAAAAATAAAGGTGTTTTAAAGCAAATATTAGTGGTTTAGGGGATTTCTCTGTAATTTTATTTTTCCTTTTTTCAACACCCCCCCC